TCAACTCATTCTCTGAAAATAAAACATTAAAAATTGATAAGTTGGTAATAGTTACTGTATATGATCAGTTTTATGTGTTGGGGGCGACGCTGAAGTTTGGAGGAGTCAAAATTAGCTGGGGAAGGTAAGGGAGGTGTTGCCTTTATTGAGAATGAGACAACCTTCTCTTCGAGGGAAAGGAAAGATATATGAAAACGCCTTAGTGTTTTAGCGAGGTTTGGCGTCGAGGCATGCTTGCAGGCTGAGTTGGTTTGGGCATATGGCGAGAATGCAGGAGTCAAGAGATACACGAGATGGAATGTGGAAAGTATGAACGCTAGGACTAGGCCAAGAAAGAACAAAATTAGGAGAGAATGTGAAAAATTACCCCAGAGGTAAGACCCTGACGAGAGAGACTACAATAAGGAGAGCTGTCATCAGGTATATATTTACCGCTAACCAAGCAAGTATGGAAAATGACAATAAAACAAAGATGATGGTGGTGTGTGTGTGTGTGTGTGTGTGTGTGTGTGTGTGTGTGTGTGTGTGTAAAATGCAGAAAAACAGCGATGCAGTAGAAAAGTATAACACTCGTACGTATAACCAGACAAATATAATAATGAAAAGAGTTGAATAATTTTAATAACCACATCTTGTATATTGTGGTAACCAAGCCGACCCTGTAAAAGCAACAATCATTTTTTTACTGGATAATTAAAGATTAAAACATATTCAAGGCAAAACCATTACTTGTCTACCCTAACTTCTTACGTTCACGTTAATCACTATAGTAATCCTTGATTTTTGGGCCTTATAATGATAATACGAATAATAATAATAGTAATAGGGAACATGAGACGCAATTATGACTATTAGTATTGTACTCACTTAGAGATGACAGCGGCAGTAGTAATAGGTAGTGGCGGACCTCACAGTGGAACTGAAGCTAACGGCTGCCTGACACCACCGTTGACCTCGTTGCACTGACTACCCCTCAAGCTCTGAGGCTCAGCTAACTGCTGACTTCCTTTTATTGTACCCGTTCTCTATTGCCTCGTGAAGCCATTTTCTGTCAAAACACACACACACACACACACACACACACACACACACACACACACACCATAATACACATTTTGTTAGTTTTATCACCTGAAATACTTGGTTTCGTTGTTCTTTTTCTCTTACTCGACTAGTTAATCGTACCTTTATTTTATTATTTTTACTCCCCATTCATGCTTCCGTCGTTACTCTAATGTGGGGTTTTCTCTTCCATCTATGACACTTTGTTGTTAAGATTTCTGAGTGTCAAGTGACCTTTAACATGTTCGTCGGTACAGTACCACATACCAGACCTTCGCTGCCATGAGGCCCACACTGCAAACATTAGATCGTCTAGTGGTTCGTTTTCTGCGCCGATATTAGCTCTCAGATTGAGATATTACGAGGTAGATACATGGAATTCGCATATTCTAAAGCGTTTTTAATTTGTTCCACAATATATTAAGTGAAAAAAGTTGTTTACGTGTGTATCTCTTTTATAAAGTATCCTTGTATGACTAGATTTTATAATTGCAATAATATATTGATAACACGTGCACTTCATTATAGAAAGGGGAAGTTTACAAGTATTTTAATAATTTTTAAGCACGATGAGGCATTTTTATATGCATCGCTTATATGGCATGATGAGGGTTCCTCTATGTAAGATCTTGGTTACATATGAACTTTTTATTCATTGATCAGATTATGCCGAGACAAAAAATATGTTATTTTCACTCGGGATCTTTGTTGTTCATTCGCCTCGTATTTTATCAAGCGGCTTTGTAAAGGTAGACAAAAAAACATTCTTTTTTCTTATACTTATCTTAAAAAGAAGACAATACTTTTTATACCAATGTTTCTTTTACAACTGTTGTGCACGACATATTTTATCATCAGGATACTGCTAGCGATTTTTGGGGGGGTCAAGTGTGTGTCAGAAAAGTCTGCTTATCAGTATTCTGTAACTCATCATGACGATCCATTATACTCACATACTGTATGCCAACACACAAGTGCTTCGTAAAAATTTCAAATAACTATTATTTTGTTGCGACGTTGAAACGACAACACCAAACGACGAAAACGTCTCCAGCACCTGTCGGATATCTATCAGTTGGCCTGTAGACATAATTCTTGTCAACACGATATATTCTCAGTTTTAAATTCATTTTTTATAAACACCGGACTGAATGTCCTAAGCAATAACTCAGAGAAAATTTAATTTGAGCGGTTAGTCGCCTTGTTTAACCTTCCTAGAGTGATCAGAACAAATATGCCTGAATGTCATTGTTACATTACCATAGAATACGCTTTGTTTTGGTTATTGTTTCCAGGAGAAGTTGTATTGTACTGGCTGTTAGATTTAAACTCGTTCAGTGCTCTTGACACTTCCAGGATTTTATTTTAGCTGCCGCCGGATGATTTTATTCACTTCAAAGAAAACCTCCAGCTGTCAGCAGTGAGAAAGTTAAAAACAGTGAGACATGTGAAGGGCAATAATTAGAATGAAAAGTAAGAGTATAAGACATTTATATAATTTTCATTATTATTATTATTATTATTATTATTATTATTATTATTATTATTATTATTATTATTATTATTATTGCACTATAGAGAGAAACGTCGCCCGTTTCATACATTGCTATTGTCGTCTGCTTGAGCACCGGAGGAAAAAAAACATACTTACAATTATAACACAAAAGATCAAGGAACAGGTTATGAAAACAGGCGACTCTGGTAAATGTGTTGGTCCTCCTGTGTTCTGACGGCAACAAGACCTACTACTGTACCTCGAGAAACCCCTGGACGCCCTTGTGATGACGCTGAAGAAGGGCAGCGGGACACCTTGCTCAACGCTACAACTTAAACCAGGTTTTCTACTGACAATCATGGGAGAATGAATTGGAAATCTTCAGATTCAAGGATAATAATCGTGTATAGTTTATTGGTATAGGTACAAATTTGAGGCACTCGCCTTAGGCTGTCTTCAAATAGATTGCGACGTCTGTATTCAGTCCGCCAGGCGGATTCGGATTCTTAAAGAGAGTGAGCAGTAAAAACAAGATAAAATACTGTCTGTATAATACCACAGGGGATAGATAGCCTCACCCTCGCTCGGTTTACGGCGCCAACAAGTCCGAGCATTCTCGTCGGCATAGTAAACTTTATCCATTCGATGTATTGATGTGCAAACACCAATGTTGACGTTTCACTTGTTAATGGTGCTGGGGGGGCGACCTGGGGGGCTCCTGTTCTTCCAGTAGTCTCTCACATCATTATCCTCGCAGTTATAATGCCAGCGCACCAGCGGTAAGCTCTTTTTTTGTGGGTACACGTGCGAGCTTCGAAATCTGTCACTGGCACCTTTTTTTTTTACTCTTATAAATTTGTGCGAGTGCTCACAGCAAAACACTATGTTGCATTAATCGGTGTCGTCATAAATTTTCTTCACTCAGAGCACAAAACTATCAGAGAAGTTCAACAGGTATACTGTATATCTTTCCAATCTAAATAAATCAGTAACCAAGTTTCATCACAATAGTTTAGCTCTCTTTGTCACACACACACACACACACACACACACACACACACACACACAACTAATGCATATATGAAGCTTAATAGAATGCTTTTCATAGCTATTCATCATATAATTCCCACGATAAAGGGTATTATGTGTAAAAGGAATATCCTTCCTTCCTTAGGCTTTAGTAAGCCCCTTTATAATATTTATACTGTATATACTTGTCACACTTGCCAGATGCTTCTGGTGTCATTGTACAGGGGTACCTAGTGACAGCACTAGGATCCCGCTTCCTCTATCAAGGAATAAACAATTGAAATTGAATTGATAAAGGGCAGTTAGGCGGGGCAAGTGACAGGCTTCCTCCACACACGCATGCCCGACGTTTTATAAAATTACCTCAATTTCAATCGTGTCAAACTTCATCAACTTTCAATGGAGCTCCTTTTATCAAGTCTGACCTCCAGCTTAATCAAGTAATTTATAATAGTTACATGCTGGAAAATGCGTTACTATGTACATTGTTGTTTGTATTATGGTCACTTATTAAAATATTTATTTATTTTTTATACCGTATATGGAATAATTGTTCTGGTGGTAGGTTTATCCTCAACGGATTAGATATTTAAAGTATAAACTTTGATTCAACACTTAAGAGTTTATAGGTGAAATTATTCGTTTTATTTCACTTCCTCTTAAAGCATTAATGATTAGTACAGTACAGTACCACAAACAGCATATTTATAATTCCAACCGTATAACTTCATCAAAGCCACAGTTGAGTGCAGCGGTCGGAACACAGTACAAAGCTGGTGCTGTTTACTAGTTACCATAACGACCATTTATTTGGCTCCACTTGTGCCTCACCACACGTCTGCCTACCACCATCATTGGCAACTTCACCCACAACTTTATTTTGCAGTATGAAGGTGGTTGTACAGTTAATAATTAGATGCTATGTAAAAGAAGTAATTTCTTTTGAGGAATAAAGATGAGAAAACTAACACAGCAATGTTATATTGAATTTAATGGAAACCCAACGAATTAATCTTAGTATTCTATGAAACAAAACACACACACATCTTGCTGAATAAAAAACTGGATAACCCCCAAAAAATAGATGTGAATAATACGTAAAAACAGACAACCAGCACTTCATTTCAATACAATAATTGTAGAAGATGTACAAGTAGAAAGTTACATCACACTGACTACTTTTTTATACCTCTTGACCCCAGGTAAACAGTCTCACCCAAAAATTCGTCAACTCTCCCAGTCAGCTGTTGCTGCACTGCCTGCTTCAGATGTTTGAAACTGTTTCAGTACCAACCAGAACATGAAATCGATACGAATGAATCTAAAGGTTCGAAGTAACAGAATCAAGTTCATACACCTGAAGCAGACAGTGCAGCAATAGCTGGCTGGGACGTGGGATAGTTCACGAACTTTTGGGTGAGACGTACGAGGATCTGTCCTGTGTTCAAGAAGATTTGTCCAAGCTAAAAGGGAGTTGGTAAAAGTTGCTCACGATTTTTTCTATCTTTGGTTTTGTTATTTGTTTACCATATAAAGGATATGACTTTCTTTTACACATTATATATATATATATATATATATATATATATATATATATATATATATATATATATATATATATATATATATATATATATATATATATATATATATATATATATATATATATATCACACACGATACTGTAGATCCACAATGGAAACGTGTGTGTGCGTGGATGATCTTCATACACGATTCCGAGTGACAGCAAAATAGTAGTAGTAGTGTACAACATTATGGCCAGTCAGAAGTTAATAAAAGGAATACATAAAGGTTACTACTCTGAGAGAATTATCCATATTTTGTAAAAAAAAATTAACCTAGTTTAACTATAAACTAGATATCTAATGATGGTGCACAAAATAATTTTCACTATTACTTTTGTCTTCTTCGCCACTGCTTGGGCGGTAGGCCAAGTCTCTGTTACCCACTGTTGGCAAGCCCTGGCCGTGTACTAGTTCCAGAATGTATTTATCTGCGCCAGTGGCAGTGATAATCAAGTCTGCTCTTGAATGTGTGCATACTCGGTGCCATTACAACGCTATTTAGCAGATTGTTTCAAGAGTTTACAACTATCACTCCAAAAAAGTTTGCCCTGATAGTTTTCTGAACTTGTTGCTTCTTCAACCTTAAACTGTGTGGGCGGGCATCCGCCAGTTCTGGGTATGAACATCCGACTAAATGATGTCCTCTGAGTTGCTTATAAACTTAAATTAAGTCACCTCCTGCCTGCCTATAGTATAAGATAGACAATTGCAGGCATTCTAATTTCTCTCGGTAACTGAGGTGCCATTGTGCAGGCACCAGTCTGGTGGTGGTCCTGAGGACATTTTCAATCAACCGACAGTCTCTAATATATCTCAGGGCCCAGGCGGGGTTACAGTACTCCAAACGAGGAAGCAACTCACTCTTGAAAAGCATTAAGAGGACCGTCTTGATATATAAACGCCCTTCTTATAAAACCTACTAGATTAGTTGCTTGATTCACCTCCTTCTCACAGTGGTCAGAGAACGTCAGCTCATTGTCACATTCGGTCACCAATAATACTGTTTCTTCATCTCATTGGGACATGTGATACGTCCCCTTACTGTTAGTATGACCTAGGTGCATCCTCTTGCATTTCATAACTTTGAGTCTTAACAGCCATTCCTTTGATTTCTCCTGAAGCTGACACATCTTTCTGTTGCATTTCAGTCTGATTGGTTCTAAATTTCCCTGAATAATGTAGCATCATCCATGAACATTTGTATGGAGGAGAGTATAGCTTCTGGCATGTCATTAATGAAACAAACAAACAAACAACAACAGACCCAGTACACTGCCCTATGATACCCCGCTTGTTATGGGTACAGACGATTTCATGCCATTAATCACCACACACTGTTTGCGGCCGTGAAGAGTCTACAATCTACACTAGCACACTGTGTCAAACAGGAATGTCCCAGCATAAAACTATGTTTGCATTTTTTATGTGGTTGTTTTGTAGTATTTTACAGTAGATATTCCATCATGGCATCTCTTGTAATGCTCTTTAGTACTTTACATACTATGCTTGTCAGTCTCACTGGTCTATAATTATTCATGGAGCAATTTATTTTTTATACCCTCTTCTGAGAACACAATGTGGGTCAAAACTGTGTCAAACCATCTTTCCTCAAATGCAGGAAGATTGTTCACATCCTCTCTTGAGAACACTGGGGAAAAGAATTTGTTCAGTGCCTCCGCCTTGTCCTTTTACATTTTTACTTTTATCCTCTTCACCACTGATCGGCTAGCCATTAGCCGCTTCGGCGGTTGGTCACATCTCTGTTACACCCTGTTGGCAAGTACTGGGCATGCACCGGTTCCTTAATGTATCTGAACCTGCTCCAGTGTCAGTCAAGTCTGGTCTTGAAAGAGCTCACACTCGATGCCGTCACAACACTCTCTGGTAGATTGTTCCGAGAGTTCACAATTATCACTCTGAAAAAGTTTGCCCTCACAGTTATCTGGACTTGTAGCTTCTTCAACCTTGAGCTGTGACCCCTTGTTGGTCTGAATCTGCATAACTACCATCTTCAAGCCTCAGATTCGTTACGCCTACACGTTTTTAATTTTGATTTTGTGTAACAGTAGAAAGCCTTTGGGTTTGACTTGACCTCACTTGCAATCTGCCTCTAGAACTGCTTTCCAACCCATCTACAATCTGACTTTCCTTGTTTATTGGACCTAGCAAACATCCTCCTGGCCTGCCCATTGTTTGTCCCAAGACTCCCAACCCAGTCTCGAATATCTGAGATTTTTTCTTCTCTCTGTCAACCACTGCATGGTTCATGTGCAGCAGCCTCCTTGTATTCCTGGGAAATTACTGTACAGGTACTGTATTTACCAAAAAATATGACTACTTGTTGCCCAGAATTAACTTGACAAAGATTATCAAATTCTCTAAAATGAAGGGTTTGCTGAGGAAAATTTGTTTATTAATAGAGGAAAACAGCAAGTAAGTAAACAAAAATCAATACATTTCATGTTTATTAATTTATAAGCTAGCATGCACAGTCCAAAGATAAATTAGGATTAAAAGCATAATGGACTAACATGAAAAAGTGATACACTGGAACTCAAACTGGAACAACTCATACGGTAATTCATATCCAAAATGATGCACACAATGTACCAGTACATAATAAATTACCAACCTTAATTTTGAAGAAAAAACTGTACATTAACAAACAACTGAAAACATCTTCACCTGCTTCAAGTCTCTAAACTTAGTTGAAAAATTCACAGATCCCTTAGCCACTTGTGAGTAAGAGTGACCCTGAGCTTTGACCTTGTGAGCCCCAAAAACTACATGCACATTATCAACATGTTTTAAATCACTTCATCGAAAACTGAAACACTAGCATTGTGTCACACACAAATAACATGAGAGACAACATTAAGTCTTGGCCAAGTTTGGTTGAGCAGTAAAAAAATTTCAAGATATTTTCATGAATAATTCACAGCCTAAGGATTGAGGTAACAATTCTTTATCAACATCTAGCAGTAAAGTTAATATTAGGGAGGGAAACTATATAGCAAGTGGCATCCTTATCAGCGATGGCCACAATTATGTCCTGATTCCTGAAATATGATGTTAATCTTGAGACTCGACGAGTGGAGACAGACAAACACAGAGAAGGGACGTAAGATTCCATAACTGCCCAGTTTACTTTCATTTTAGTTGAACTGTCTTCACCCAGGATCTTGTAGACCAGTAAATGACCTGTGGAGTAACCATTAATGAAATAACTTTACTACACAGGTCTGGATAAATACCCGGTACTTGTAAACAGTATACAGACTGTCTGTATAAATAGCCAGCAGGCCATTAAGGTTTACAAATGCATCATCATCTATATCTACACATCATTGACAATGAACCTTACTTTCATCTTATCGTCACTCAGCTTGTGCAGTTTCTTCACATTACCAAACATTCAGACTGTACTATAATGCCTCCTCCTCTATATTGTGCCACTCTTTCTTCCATACTTACAGTTCCTGGTCCTTTGCTTCCCTAATTTCAACAATTCAAAAATGCTTTTTTATTTTAGATACTTCTACCTTGCATTGTAGTGGATATCTGATTACAGTAAAGTACTGTCTACTCACAAAGCAACTAATTAAGTATTATTATCTATCCAAAAAGAAACTGAATAACCACAAAACAAGATGGTATTGTATAGATGCATTCTTGTACCAGTACATGCCCAGTAATTGCCAATAATACATAACAGAGACGTAACCGACCGCCTAAGTGACAAACATGGCTATCAATGGTGAAGAGGTTAAAGTTAAGTAAAGTTCAGCAACTGAGTCTACTGGAGGCTCAATGGTTTAAACCAGTGACCATTGGGCTATACAATATCATATACTGTAGTGTACTGTACTGTACTGTACAGACAGTAGTCCTTTCAACAATCTCTATGGCAGCATAATAATATTCATCCTGAATAAAAATATCATAGAAGTAAAAACATGTGAAAATATTATGAGAATCAATTGTGTCAGAGAGCAGGTAATGAAGAGTACAATAATAAGTTTCCACAACATTTACAAAATTAGAGTTGTGTACAGTAAGGAACAGAAACAAATAAATCAACAAGAATCAGATGTATAAAATACATTTAATCTCCCGACATCACTCACTCACAATGGTAAAATTATGTTATTCTACACAGGAGTTCTTCCATAGCCTCACCTTGACTGGTGCCACAGAACACAAGACCTCGTTTATAATGGACCACAGTTACCTCTAGCAACAACGTGGCTCCCACCCGCACCTTGGCTAGTGTCAATATGCAGCTGCTGGCTGGCTGTAAATCAGAGACAGGCACAATACTTTATAAGGCAGTTGTAAATATTTTATATTACAGTAATACAGTACTACTGTATGTATCAAGCATATAGAGGGTCCTCAAATTGTTGTCACTGCTGTATGTACTGTTTAACAATACAGTACTATATGTGTAATGGCAAACATACAGTACTGTATTTCAGATTAGCCCCTGCACAGGCAGTGGCCAACAGAAGTGGATCTGGAAAGTTAAGCTAGTTAATTACTCTAAATGTGATCTCATAAAGTAAAACTAGCATGATTGCTGAGAGTACCATTAGCCAGCTGGTAACAGGTAGGCATTTGTTTAGTGTGACTGAAATTAAGTTGTGTTTATAGTACAGTACAGTACTTCAATTCTTGACCTTAATTAATACTGTATAAGAAAGAAATTAATTTCCTGCTAAATGAATTTCTATACACTACGGACAAATTTAATCTTAATACGTACATGGTGAAAATATTTATATATAAAGGTCTAAAAATGTGATGCCATTTAAAATGCTTGTAAGTGATACACTAACCTTTGCCCATAAAACAGTAGCCAATCACATTAGTGTATGTACTTCAAATTCTAGTTTGAGTATAAGAGAGAAAGAATTATTTAGTGTAATATATAATTGTGGAGGAAACATCACGGTGACAGGATTACTCTACCTGGGATAATCATAATCATCATCAATGTACGTACTGTATAACAACAACAACATAAGCCACTGGTTTTGTTTATAAATTACTGGTACAGGTACAGTATACAGTAACTACAGTACTCATGCTTTTAAAGGAAATGAAAGACTCATTTTTTCCAATCACTGAACAAAATACAGTAAAAGCCACAGATGTTTATGTGGGCTTCTTGTGCCGTTGACGTATAGGGTTAGTCCATCTGTCAATTTATATTGTGGATATCTAGAGTAAGCTGAATTCAATAATCAGTATGTCCCAGCTTTTTGTGCCAGTCATGACCACTGAAAAACTTAAGAGATTTTGGTGGAGATACACATCACCCTAATCATTGGGTTCATGTAAAGTGAGATACTGTACTGAACAACCATAGAGCCATTAGCTACATATAACTGATGCAGTCTTAATTTTACAGAGAACTAGTTCCTTTTTTCCTCTCTTTCTGAAACTACAAACAGTATTAAACCATTTTTCAGTTATCTCCTCCATTTTTCAGTATTTCCTGCATTACATTTCAGTAACATAAATGCCACCAACGATTTTTCCTCTTTCCAAATATTCTTTACTTATGATCTTTAAAGCAATCACTTAACCCACACATCTTCCTCCTTTCTTGAAGCTATGCTCTTCTTCCCATGTCATACTTTCAAGTGAATGTGACACAATTTTCTCGTGAAAGACGACTGCACATCTTACCGGGTGTACTGTACTTACTTGACTTATTCCTCTATGTCACTTACATTCATTCTTATTGTCTTTCTCTATATGCTGTACAGTAGTGAAGAAATGCATGTTTTCTGCCATTCCTTTGATACTACTCTTCCTTGCCTCATGCATAACTTATACACCCTTGTCATCTCATCCATTCTATTATAACCACAGTTTCACCAGCCATTCTTAAAGTTTACAGGATACAGTAAGTTCCATTTAATGTGAAAAGAAATTTTTATATCTCACCTCCGAATATGGTAAACTTCTAGCTGTTCCGTCAGTGATGTTTCCTTCCTGTGGATTCATATTATTACTACTGCTTTTAACTTGAGTGCCTGTGATCCAGCTTGCATTACCCACATCTTGTGAGCCTCTTTGTATCCAGCTTGTCAAGATGCTTTCACCAACCAACCAATAGTCACGTTCACGGTCCATATGCCAGTATGCTGTCAAACATTAATAAAATCTGATGTCAGTTCTGTAATTAGGTAACTAAAATAAGGGAATATTGACACTTAACATGCTTCATTTCCTCCATGGGGTTCTACATTCAAGCTACTGTATAATATTCTTTTTTCTCAATCTCCCTTCCATATTTGCATTCTAAGTTTCCTTTTTTTTTTTTAATTTCTCCATTAACTTTCTCCTACCACAATCAATGCCCAATTCATTAATTATTACTTCCAACTTTCCTTCTCAATCAAATACCTTAGCAGTGTAAGTCTAAACAGCACACACCTGTTTCCCTGCTCTGTCCTGATGACCCTATGTAGCTGCTCGTTTATGACCTACTTGAAAAATGGTGTGTGTGTGTGTATGTGTGGCCATATATATATGTCACATATATGAATATAATTATACTGTACACTATTTTTCAGGTGGGTCATAAACAAGTGGCTCCATAGGTTCATCAGGACAACAGTGGGTATGAAACTAACAAGGGCCAGTTGTTAAAATCATTTTTACAACATTATAGTACAGTACTGTACTCATTAGCTTGAATGTAGATCATAAGCCAGTTACGATGTTTTTCAGAGGACACGCTGCTGTGTGCCTCACCTCATTAACAAATGTGATACAGTGATGAAACTAGACTCTGAAGTGCTACTGCTGCTGCCTAACACTAAAGTTATCTGATCATGGTTGTGGACCTTTTAATATCATCATCATCATGATGGAAATTGAGGAAATCACGAGAAGTGCAAATGCTTTCTCCGTCTTTTGCTCAGATCACATAACAGTGGCTGAATTACACCAATGTGTAAAAGTGTCAAAGTCATGCATAAAAGTTCTGCAACTAGTTGCTGTCAGTATACATCTTAACTGTCCGAGGAAAGATGGTCATCTCGCCAGTTGTCTTTGAACTGTGAACTGAGATAATTTCTCTAGCACCTACAATAGGTCTAATAAACCAGCCAGTAAGGGCTTCACTTGCATCAGACTGATACTTTACCTGGTTATGTATCTCAAAGGGGAGGTCAACCATATGAGAAGACATAGTGACAAGTGATGGTTACTCCTCCTCTGCTGTATCAGTTCCATTGTCTCCAGCTTGGCATAAAAGGGGATGCAGTCAAGAAAGGTGATCTGAGTGAAAGGTCACCGCACCATAACCACTGCCAGTGTCGTCGTGCTGAGTGCCACCTTTATGACCCTACGGAGGTGCTCGTGTGTGACCTTACTCTAAAATGTGGATGGGTGGACCGTCCTTATGGTCCTTCCCAGGCTGTGTAGATTATGTGGAACATTTGCATGTCCTGGTCAAGTGATTTTGAAATTTACTTGCACAATTTTTTTTTTTTTTTTTTACTTGCCCCAACAATTTTTTTTAAGGAAATTTGACTGCTGGAATCTTTAAGAGAAATGTTAAAATTTGTTTTTAAAACATTCAAATTTATTTTATGTTTCAACTCATACATCATCTTTTACCTTCATCCTGTCAATTTTCCTTGCTTCTTATTAATGTTGATCAGTGGATGCTTTTATTCAGATTTTTAGGTCAGGTCATTTTGAGAATAGACTAATAGAATTAGGAGGGATCAGCTGTGATGTGACACTATGGCATCAGGTAAAGCACACACAAACACAGCCCCCTCCCCCTCCTGTCACCATGCTGGATAACGGACCTCACTAGTTAAAAATGTTGGGTCATGCAGCACCTGACAAATTCCTGTTTGAGTACAGTATTTTCTTCTCAAAATATTAACTTGACCACAGGGCAAGTGCTGGGCACAAGGACAGGAAAAATCACTTGTCCGGGCACTGCTAATGTGCACAGCATGGTCCTTCCCCTTGCTACATCTACAACACAGATATGTTTTTACACTTTCATGTCTACAAAATTACTCCCACAAAAATTACTCACATATATAATACAAAAACACATACAGTACCCATACTGAGAAATGAAAAATGATTTGATCACTTCACTACGTACTAGAAAATCTTCTGGTTTTCAGTTTTCTAAAAAATAAAACAAATTCTGTAAAAGAAAACCTGTTTACCTGAATTATTTTAAATTTCAATAATTACATGATCAACACCTAAATAAAATCTACCTGATAAATATACTACCTGTATTTTGCCACCATTGGGCTTCTCTGATATCACAGGAAGAGTAACAAGAGTGATTATCTTTCAAACTATGATAAACATTTATATCCTTAACTTGTAACACAAGCTACTAAGCACAATACTTACATAAAAGTGTTCTAGATGTAATGGTGGATGCAAATATGAGTCCGCGTGAGAGGAGGGTGGGGTTGGGGTACCGAAGGTCCTTGTATAAAGGCGACTCTGCGATCAAGTTTCCAGAGACGGTGTAGGAAGACACATGACCCCCTGATACTATGGTGGTCACCTGTGTTAATAATTAAAACATTATCACAACTTAAAACTTACTGTCCTCATCACCAGTCAGCTTATTACCAGCGTGGATGGTCACTTGCCAAATTCTCATTGTCGCTGGGTATTAGACTGGCCCTTGTCTAAATTACTGATGATATTACAACTGTTTTCTTAAAGGTAGCTACTGTTATTATAAAACAAAATAGAACAAGTATTTCATGCATTACTCTTATCCCAGGAGAAGCTAAAACAAAGGAGTATGTTTACCTGACATTATCTTAATAAAATATATAGTGGATAACGTGTGTGGATGGGAAGGATATCTGGAGGAATGTGTGCATGGGAAGGATATGTTGGGCTCATTTTCAGAGGTTTCTATCATCCACATACCACATCAGTTTCCTCTCCTGATATGTAGGTGTGGGCGAGGGGGGTAACAATTCTGTTTTTGAAAAAAGTTAAATTATGCATTATTAGTAGACACACTAGAAACAACATACATTTCCCTGCTATAGAAAATAAAGAAAGTATTAAAGTAGACTGAGGATTTGGATTCCGTACACTTAGGAATAATTATACATGCACATTATACAGTACAGTAGTAATAATTATTGATAATAACTCAGGGTCACACAGGAGCTTACCATAAGGTAGGACTGACACACAACCTTAAATTTCAGGGACTGAAATATCCTTAAAACTACATAGCATGCAGGTACATCAGCCATTTCACATGACCTAATTTATATCAGCACCAGTAACTATATAGTAATTAAAGATCATCAATATAGTATTACAGAAGAAATTTAAATAACTATGTCATGAATTCGTGAAAAATATAATGTTCAAAAGGAATTACAGTAATTTCCATCCACGAAAACCCCTTACACTGTACTGTATGTATACATGGTATGCATGCATCCTAGATTAAATACTGTAGCTCAAGCTGAAATATAGTAAATTAATTTTAAAATACAAAACAATTTAACCTAATACAGTATTTATTGCAGCAAGAAGAACATTATGCACACTTTGTAAATATTATGCACAGTAACTAAGAAATAATGTCTTTACTTACGGTAGTTAAATGCTAGTCTTATGGCACTGAATTTAAAACTAGCCAACATTTTGCTAACATGTACAGTATTAGCCAGCCTTACAGCACTGATTGAAGGCATGCCAGCCTTGCTTTAACTACTGTGTAAGATTTTTCTTAGCTGTCACAGATTAGAATTTGACGTTAGCTGTGATTGACATTACAGGATGTCCCCCTGCTCAAAAATCCTCCAAATATGCTCATCCCATCAACTATCCCTGGCATCTCGACACACACACACACACATCTGGGGGGGTTCACTTGGCCATGAAGAGGGTTTATGGCCTCACACAGCTTTGAAAGACTGGTCACCACCCTGCCAACATATGGTTAGGTTGTTTATACTGTACACTATTCTTCCATTTACCAAGTGTAACATTGGGCCTTTGATCTCCCCAGTTGAGTCTCTCCTGCTCTTACTATATAATTACTCTATAGGTTTTTTAATTTTCTCGGAGCTTCATGTATATTGTGAGATTTTTTTACATGATTTCCATGTATAATGAAACAAGTTTAATGTTATTTTTCTTCTACATTATAAAGCTTGATTTATTTTACAAGGGTTAATTGTAAATGCATGTTTCTGTAGGGTTCAATTAGCTCATATTGATGTGAATATAACTTTACTTACTCCAGACTCTTAATTTTCACTCATTTAAACTTAGCAGCTTTTTGACATTCTACTAATTAAGCATTTGTAAACACTGCTTACTTCTTTCTTCTTTTTTCTTTCTTAAATTCTCATTAAAATTTAGCAGTATACTACTGTATATCTGCTACAGCAGTGAATTGTACACTCAAATTAAACTTTCTCAAACTATCACACACACACACACACACAGTATCTACACTAAAAACCACAAGGTATCTGAGGAATGTTCACGTACGGGGCACAAAAAATAATGATTAATAATAAATATATATTAATTACAAATCCATTCCAAAGGTCCCAGTAGACTGGAGGAGAACTGGTTGTGATGCGCCCTATATGAACAAGTTCAATTCGCCCATGTTGAGGTATGAAATTAGCTTGATAGATGGCGAGATGAATCTCATCCATCATCTGAGATACTATCACAGTGTTCCCATCACAGCTATAAAGACAAAAATAAATCCTTTATCACATTAAAATTACTGTAGTACATTGTTACAGAATATATCACAACAGCAGCAAAAAAACACAGTCAATGATATTAATCAATACTGTATTAACAAGCATCCTGATGAAGAACATAATTACAATGCAGGAATCTGACCAATCCTAAATAGTTGTAATGATGACACCAAAAATAAGTCAGTAGGTTAAGCTTAATGAGACCAGGTAAACCTAACCTACCTTAATCTTATCTAGCCTAACCCAATAAAAATCTAAACTTTATCTGATGGTCCACCAGTCACATTAAGAAATATAACCTTTGACTTGGCCAGATCTGACCTAACTCCCTCCCCTTAACCTGGTGACATTTTTTGTGTCATTTTATTCCTAATTTGACAGATGTGCCTTTTTTTTCAGAGTACCCAAAATGCCATACACACGTGAGGTAAAGATGAATAAAACTACTGTAATGTTCTTACCACAGTCTGGAGTCAACAGATAGCACAGGAGTGACACTAAGAGGAGTGAGAGAGTGTAGCTGAGGACCCACCAGGTAACATTTTAGATATTTGTTCACACACATGGCCAGGATGGGAGGAGTTTCTGGCATCTCCATGGCACAAACCTATGAAAGATAGCAGTAAAGTATATAGTACAGTATACTGTATTTGATAAGCATAATCTAGATACCATACTCCCTCATCCCTACACACATCTTTATTGACAGGAACAGCGAACTTACCCTAAGGATTCTGCCTTTAATGTGTTGCACGCAGCATTCTTGCCCTGCCTTGCCAAACAGTCTTATAATACACGTATTTTCATCCTCACCATGAGACACCACCACCACAAACCTGCCTGATTCATAGCAAAAAATGATAAGTTCAAAGGAATTCATTCCAATTTGTGGGCTGTTAATATATACAGTACAGCACAAATATAAGAAGTGCAAATGTAAATAGATTAATTATTTAACCGACAAGAAAAGTACCGTACAAGTATAAGATTCAATCAGCCTGGCAAATACAGGTTTACCAATGATTCCAATACTGTACTGTATCAACAATTGCAGTGTTCATTCCCAAGGTGGCTACAACACTAAATACTGTACACTACTTTTTTCCGCTTTCAAGATACATACTGTACATAAATCACAACTAACTAATTCATTGCACTGTGCATGGTCACTTTTATGCATAATACAAAAATACAGTAATTTCATAAATTTTTTTGTGATCCTGCATAAATCTTGGTGAAATTTTGTACTGGTATATTGTACAATTGTATCCTGGTGCCTGATTGACTGTTAAAACTATACCCGGCTCATTTCAACCATTCACAGAGTTGCCATTCCTCCTATTACACTGCATGTAGTGTTGCTGTGTCTTCTGCTGTAGAAATTAATAAGAACATTAACGATTCCTCAAAATTCCTTTAAATACTGCACTATATAATACTGAATGTTGTCTAGCCTTTTTTATCTTAAATGAACCATTGATTAATAATATATAAGATGGTGAACTCCAATGTGCTTGCTGTACAAGGGTAAGTGATATGCTGTGTACTGTACATGCAAGTCGAGATGGTCACTAAGAAATTAACTCTTAATCACATATTTGTCAGCACAAAATATTTATCACGATCTATTGTATTTGTAGAATCATCATCAAAATACTGTACTGTACTGTACTGTATGCCTATCTTGTTTTTCCCTCATACAGTATATCCCTGACTTCAATTTTATTCACAACAAAGCCTCTTACTTTACTTGTGTTGAAGATTATAAACAAACACGATTACTGGGTGTTTATTCTTGGCAATAGTTTTTGTTTAAAAGGATAGTCTAATTACAGAGTGTACCAAAATTTATGCAACTTGCATATTCAGTAACTTAACTACTGACAGGATGGTGTGCTCCACTACAGGACTCTACTACAGTATTAATATCAGTGAAGACACATGATGAATGGACATATGAGCCACGGTTAGATCCTAACCACCCTGGCCCAAACGTCCCACATTCAGAATACATACCTGCAGAAGTGAGATGTGTCACTCGTTTCACCTGTAGTAACATATTACAATCATCTGGGATAGACGTTATAGCAGTTTGCATTGACATCCTGCTGATATCTAACCATTCAGGTTCATCTACTCTCTCTTGGCATTTGGCTAATAGCTCCTCCATCACTTCATCTTTGGTGTCTTTGAAAAATACAATTATTAAAAAACTAGCAATAGTGGAGGAGAGGGTTAGCATTAATATTATTTCTGGGATATATTCATATTGAATGTCGATACATTGCTTCAGAAACAATTATAATAACAATATTACTCATTCATCCATATAGTGTCCAGACAAAGGATCACCAAAATATTAGGTCCGGAGCTTATTTAACCATACGAATAACTAACCTTCCAACTTAAGCTAATATTGTATAACATACTGTAACTTTACCTCAACCCCCCCCGCAGCGTTAGGGTGTTTCAATCATCAGGCGAAATAAGCAGAGGGTCATTTCCGAGTAATCCACAAAAGCTGAAGACGATAACAAAAAAAAATGCGATACCAATTGTTCTGGAGAACTGCCCACTTTGAAAGACTTCACACACACGGCATTAGAATGTCAAACACAGATACTATATAGCAATGATTTTTATATGTGTTTTATTGGACATCAAATTAAGATAACTCGAAAAGAGTCTGCTTCTGTGCATTAATTTATTTGAGAAACTTGAGACTAACCATAGATGATCAGGTAGCATAATACGTATAAATTAATATGTTAATAAACAAGTCTAAACCCACCGTATAATTTGTATATAGAAAACTCTGATTCAGGCACAAGCTAAAGTGTTTAGATGCCCTCTGACGACCTACGTATGTGTACCCAGGTTTCCTTTTCTCTCTCTCCACTTGAAAAGGCTGGCTCCGGACCTACGTCATCTAGTCACAACGTAACAAATATACACGGAATTCTTCAGAAGCTTGTGATCCAACCCACCACCATCTGCCACGACGTCACTGTTGGCATCTTGAGCAAGCGTAGGGGGTGTGGCGGACTTGGGATAATGAGTGACGTAGTACTCGTGGGTGAGCTCTGCTAGTAGACGTGGGGGCAAATAGTGGCATCTCTCTCGACATATTCTGTTGAAGGAAAATTGTGTGAAAGAAATTGTGTGTCAGAGAAATTCACTCTCAATCACGATTCACCCACCATTTATAATTTCTCCAACGTCTCACTGATTTTTATATGTAGGGCAGAAAACATAACTACTACAGGTACTTGCATTTAAATTCTTCGTAAAACATGCTTGATTCCTTAAATGAGTTTGGCGTCATAAGCTAGTAAACTCATCCAGCAATTCCTAATCTGATTTAACATGATTTTAGGTACACGTATGGCGATATGGGATGTTATTAACGAAGTATGACTTAATGTAACCAATGACTAATTCTGACTCACCCTTGCAACCACTTTATTTTGAGTATTGAGTATACCCAAATACTCAATAAGTTTTAAGCGTGAATTTTAGTGGGCTAATTATTTTTTAGTTTTCTAACATACGGTATTTACAGATCCTAAGAAATAAGAGTTTGCCTTAAAAACAGTAGACAATCCGTTCTCTCTTCAGGGATGACGTTTATAGGTAACTTGTATAAAGTGTAGGTGTGTCGGGCACTTATACAATGCATATAAAATTATTGTTCATTTATATCCTTTGAGTGACATATTTTTTGCCTATATGCTTTAAACCCATACAGATATAATAACTTTTAAGGCAGCTATAATATTGTAATTCTTACCTTCTCGCTAGATGTCTCCAGGCACGAGAAACACAAGAAGCCGTCAGCAGATCGGAGGTCTGCAGATATTTTAGAATTATCTCCCATATTTCCACTGGTAACAGTTCTTCGGTGACAAAATATGCTTGATAATACACCACTGAATGATCACTCATAACGACGAATTCCCACACACTTCAGTGGCATGCCTGGAAGCACCAATTAAGCAGATTAAGGCAACAAACTGAGAAGTCCAGCCATTCCCTGCTGTTCGCGGGGATACTAAACTAATGGCGCCGCATACAAGTTTAACCACATCAGTGAGATCTCTTATTGGCGAGTTTTATCACTTTAGCAAGTTGTTTCTAGTGCTACTCGTGTTAAATAAATCTGGTTTTGATGTGGAAGAAAAACATTAGGTGAATTTACCTTCCAGTGAAATTATTTGAAATATTTTATGATTTTGCATATCCGTGGCACAAACTAGTAACATCTTCGAACTAGAATGAATGATTATATTCTCATTTAAGAATTTAGATGTTTGTATAAACATCAGATAGACTTTCAGATAAATACTTTACAGACGTGTAACCACATTTTTTTAAGTGTATCCTTCCATCGTGGTTATTTATACAGAACAAAAGCGGTACACGAAAATAAGGCTTCAAAAAATGGCACAGGCAAATGTGACACGACTGTAAGGTTAGGTTAGGTAAAAATATTACAAAGAATACTGTGCCATTTTTTACTGTGTCGTTTTTCCTACATTCACGTAAAAATATATTACAATATTAGTTCAGCGCGAGTGGTATATAATGGCATAAGGTAAAGACGTGATTTTAGGACATTTTTATCGCAAGAAAAGGCATTAATTAAGAAATAAATAAACTTTAGGGATACGAATTATCTTTGTAAGATTATTGAATTGAATTGTAACAGTTTATTTAGCCAGAAAAATACAGATACAGAGTGGATAATAATAACAATATTAACATGGCTGAGCCAGCTGAGAACCTGAGATCCTATAATCGGAAACTATTGCAGTCGATGTGTTTTTTTTTTTAAATATGGAGATAGACAAATTTTACAAGACGTATGTACTACTTAATTTAACCAATTCCTAAGTCCTAACCTAACCTAAACAACTATGACGACCATGGCAAGTACCTAATAAAAAAGCTCCTGCTGGACTTGAAGCAGAGGAGGGAGGAGTCGAGAAGGAACGGGGACAGGTGCACATGGGTTATACTCAGGGGGAGGGTAGTGGAAACAAGTGTGCCGACACAGGGCCAGGGGGCAGCAGTGCACCCTCCACCCACTCAACCCCCCACCCGGGAGGCGGCACCAGCTCAGCCTACCGGACAGGAGGGAACGAGCGCCGTGTAAACAATGAAATTTTTAACCACACCCTGCAAAATACAGTGTACTTAGCAAATGCTGCAGCTTCTGAGAATGTGGGTGGAGCGGGTTTATTACTAAGAGCAGAGACGTTACCGAGAACAAATTCTGGCTTGAATGTCATGTACACTAATACCGACACGTTCCTGGATAAGAGGGAGGAGTTTGAAACACTACTAAGAGTACACCAACCAGATATTGTAGGAGTTGTAGAACTGTTGTACAAGAACAGGAGAATCGACCCAGAGGAATGTGAGTTCAGTATTGCTGGATATGACTCATTTACGAACCTAACTCAAGAATCCTGCAGGAGGGGTGTGGTTATCTACGCTAGGCAAGACCTTAGAGCCAGCCAGGCGAGGGTACAGGGAGAGGATGTCTTTGAAGAGTCCAAGTGGTGTAAAATTAAATTAAAGGGAGGGGACTTACTTATCGTCGGGTGTATCTACAGATCCCCGAACTGTGGCCCACTAAATCAAAGGAACTTAAGAACCTTAATAAACAATGCGGCGATGCTCAACCCCAGCCACCTCCTTATCATGGGGGACTTTAACTATGGCGACATCGACTGGAGAAACGAGTCAACCCCGAATGACTTGAATAATCCTGCTACTCTTTTTGTAGAAACTCTGAGAGATAATTTTCTGTTCCAACATGTGAGAGACCCGACACATTACAGAGGGGAGCAAACACCCAAGCCACTTGACCTCATCATAACAAACGAGGAGGGTATGGTGGCCAAACTGGAACACCTTGCCCCAGTTGGCACCAGTCACCATACAGTGTTGTCATTCAGATTTAACTGTTACCTAGTTCAAGATAAGGCCAGGCCAAGGTGCAAATATTACAAGGGAAATTACAATGGGATGAGGGAAGAGATGAGGGGTATCAACTGGCCTGACTTATTAAGGTACAAGAACGCAGACACTACGCTGAATATCATAACTAGTAAAATGACCCATTTGATCGATAAATATATACCCAAGACCAAACCCAGTGCTTCTAGGAATACGAGGGGATCCCTACACATGAACCATGCGGCGGTCGACAAAATTAAGAAGAAAACCCAGAAATTCAAGACGTGGGTTGGGTCAAACGATGAGCAAGACAGGAGGATGTATGCAAGAGCCAGAAACCAAGCAAAGATAGAGTGTAGGAGGGCTGAAAAGGAGTTCCAAAGGCTGGTTGCACGCGAGGTCAAGTCAAACCCAAAGGCGTTTTACCGCTATGCAAAGTCGAAATTGAAAACGCGAGTAGGAGTATCAGACCTGAGGCTTGAAGATGGTAGTTACGCAGATTCTGACCAGGATAAAGCTGAGGCATTGAACAGCTTCTTTTCCTCAGTGTTCACAAGAGAGGATGCAACTAACCTTCCTGCGTTTGAGGACAGACGGTTCGACACAGCACTGACCCACATTGTGTTCACAGAAGAGGGTATTAGAAATAAACTGTCCAGGCTAAAGGTCCATAAGAGTCCTGGACCTGACATGGTGCATCCTAGAGTGCTAAGGGAGCTGTGCAACGAGCTTGCAGAGCCCCTGAAGATTCTGTTTTGTAAATGCCTGGATGAACAAATGGTCCCCAGTGAATGGAAAGTGGCTTATGTGAGTCCTATCTTCAAGAAGGGCGATAGGCACTCCACGAACAACTATAGACCGGTGAGCCTGACCAGCATAATATGTAAAGTACTTGAGAGTATTATCAGAGATGCAGCGATGGAACATCTACTACGAAACAACCTTGTAAAAGATTGCCAACACGGTTTTATGCCGGGGCGCTCTTGCTTGACACAATTGCTCAAGGTATTGGATATTTGGACCCATATTCTAGAACGGGGTGGTAATATCGACAATATTTACCTAGATTTTGCCAAGGCTTTCGACAGTGTACCCCACGAAAGGCTGAAAATCAAACTGGAAGGGTACGGAATTCGGGGAAATGTCCTAGCGTGGATAGAAGACTTTCTACATGACCGCAAGCAATGTGTGGTGATTAATGGCACGAAATCGTCATCTGTACCTGTAACAAGTGGGGTACCGCAGGGTAGTGTATTGGGCCCGCTGTTGTTTGTTTGTTTCATAAATGATATGCCTGACGTTGTACACTCCTCCATACAAATGTTTGCCGATGACGCCAAGTTATTTCGGGAAATTAAGAACCAAGCGGACTGTGAAGAGCTGCAGAAGGACCTCTGTGGGCTCCAGGAATGGTCGAAGGAATGGCTGCTGAGATTCAATGTCACGAAGTGTAAGAGGATGCACCTGGGGCGTACCAACGGTAAGGAGGCGTACCATATGTCCCAACGGGATGAAGAAAATGTACTAGTTGAGACTGTGTGTGAGAAGGACCTAGGTGTGTATGTTGACAATGAGCTGAAGTTCTCGGGCCATTGTGAGAAGAAGGTAAATCAGGCAAATAAATTATTGGGTCTTATAAGAAGGTCGTTCAGATATCTAGACGGTCCGTCCCTCGTGACGATCTTCAGGAGTGAAGTGCTTCCCCATCTGGAGTACTGTCACCCCATCTGGTCCCCGAGATATGCTAGGGACTGTCAGTTGGTTGAAAATGTTCAAAGGAGGGCCACCAAGCTGGTGCCTGCACTTCGGCATCTCAGCTACCCTGCGAGATTGGAGCGCCTGAACTTGCCTAGCTTATACTACAGACGGGCAAGGGGGGACCTAGTTGAGGTTTATAAGCATCTCAGGGGGCACTACTCAGTTGAGTGTCCTTACTTGGAGCTGGCGGACGCTCGCCCCACAAGGGGTCACAGCTCAAGATTGAAGAAGCCGCAAGTCCGGAAAACCGTGAGGGCAAACTTTTTCGGAGTGAGGGTTGTAAACTCTTGGAACAATCTACCAGAAAGTGTTGTGACGGCACCGAGTGTGAGCTCTTTCAAGAGAAGACTTGACCAACACTGGAGCGGGTTCAGGTACATTCAGGAGCCGGTGCATGCCCAGTATTTGCCAACAGTGCGTGACAGAGACGTGACCGATCGCCCGGGCGGCTAGCGAGCCGACCTTTTGGTGAAGAATATAAAGGAAAAGAGTCGTGACCGATCGCCCAAGCGGCTAACAAGCCGATCAGTGGCGAAGAGGATAAAAGTAAAATGTTTAATCAAATGTTTCTAGTCATTATAGTCTTCAAGCCATCATCATATTAATTAACGACTGCAAACCAAAAATATACATTCTCAAACAAGGTCAAGCTTATTATAGACTTAGACTCGTGTGAATAAGCAAGTTTGACCGTAATAGGGCGAATCTGAAACAATTTTACAGCGTCACTGAGTAGTTTCTGACTAAATATGTGTGTAAAATTCCAGAGGAGTTCCAAAACATTTTACTAACGACAAAATCGGACGAAAATGAATAACCTATGTACAGAATTTTTTAATACGGTCTCCAATATGTGTACCCCTATCTTCGAAGTAGGGGAAGGTGCGGGCTTAAATTATTAATAATGATAGGCAAACATGCTAACCTAACTTAACCCAACTCAACATAATTAAAGATTGTTATAAAATCTTTGCATTAGGTTTACTTCGCATGGCTTAGGCCCGTAAGCCTCTTGGTTACTACAGTAGAACAAGGACGCCTGTCGAAGCAAGTACGATATTCTTTTTTCTTCTATTTTGTCAACTCCAAATAACAAGCCGGCTGACTTCTGGAATTTTAGCAAAGTAGCAAGATATTGCAGCGTACATTGAAGCCATGTGAGTGGGGGAATTATTTTACTAGAGCCTTTACGAAATGAGAAACTACAAAATATATTGACATATTTCATCCACACGACTAAGTAATCTGTCAAACGGCTATTATAAGAGAAGTCGTCAGGTTCATACTGCTGCGAGAACGACGTTACAGCCTAGGAAAAGTCATGTATTTCTTATTATTTT